ATTGTAGGGACTGGAGAACCGTCGCAGACTTGCCGGGGACGAACTATTGGCAAAGCAATCAATTACGACAGCGCAAGGTATCTGTGATCGAACAGTATTGAAGATTATTGCCATTGAATTAATCCACGTTAAGCGTTTTAATATCTAAACATAACGTACAGGTTTTATATTAACAGTTGACATTTTTCAAGTTCGAAATTCTATTTATAATAATAAAGAAAAAAATATATATGTAACTAAAGTATAATAATGTAGAATAATAACAACTATAAAAATTGTAGTTATCAAAAGCTTACAGAGTCATATTTTATGTAATTGCTACTGTAATTCTTGATTATAAAAATTAATATAAAAAATTAATGTAATTTATTTTTAGTCATTGGATACATCGTTTTCTTCGTTGAAATGTTCTATTTATGAAAAAATCAACTTTGAATGTTCATTTCATACATAAAAATTCGTGCAAAGGATAAGTAGAAAAGGTAAGCGATGATCAGACAAGTCAGTTAATGTCAATTCAATAGCAGCTGTATATATCTGGTTAATATTCGAACGCAGTCGTTTGGGAAATAAATTTGTAATAGAATAAAGCGTATAAAATTGAGTTTTGAACAATTTAGCATAGACAGTGTTGGGATGACAAATATAATAACGAGGGTGACAAAGAGACAAGAGAGGATGGGTAGAAGAACTGAAAAATGAACTGCATAAAGAATTCAAGATAGTTGAAACCGCGCAGAGACAAGTAGAGACACAGGAAGAGAAAAGTAACATTACCATTAAGGGACTCCAATACAAAAATATGGAAGAAAATGTGAAGTACTTTGTAAAAGAGATCCTAGTGCTTATATAAATACAACTTGCAACTTAACAATGGTACAAAGAATTTCTGAAAAAATATCTAAAACGTTAATTCATACAAATTAGAAATATTCACAACATTATTTTGTAAATAGTTTTCTACTTTTCAGGTACTGTTTTCTAGAACCTTAATTTTATATAATGTTACAACCAAATAGTGCATAATGATGTGTAATAAATTATGTGATATATGACTCGAACTATAAGTTTTAAAGATAAACGTTAGAATATGTAATGCAATTGTGTGTTTGTGAAAATGTTGATACTGCAGTCCAAGAAGAAGGGAAAAGCTGACGTCAGGGCAATTTAAGGTATTCGACGCTGGCCACTTCTGTTCGAGTATCGATTGAGACGCGAAAAGGGTTTAGTTTTTATTCCCTCCTCTCGAGCTTACTTCCTTAGAAACTCATCTTAAGCTTTCTCTTACTTTTTACGTAAACAAAATTGGAATCCTTGCGATTATTATAAATTATTTATAAAAGTTATTGATTGATTTTAATTCTGTTAAAAGATGTCAAAAAATAATATATTATTGATATATTACATTATCGATATTATTTAAATTGTAAAATATCTAAATATTGTTAAGTAATTCGATTAATAATTGATTTATTATAAAGTAATAAAGCAATAATTTCACTAAACCAATAAAGTAATACTACAATATATTTTAATAAAAACAATCAATTTTATTGAAACAATAAAGTAATAAAACAATACATTTTATTAAAACAATAAATTTTATTGAAACAATAAAGTAATACAACAATACATTTTATTAAAACAATAAATTTTATTAGATCAATAAAGTAATAGAACCATTATTATTAAAATAACAATAATAATTTCCGTTACACTTCTATATCTTTACGCATATTTTTCACAAACGCTTGGATCGTAATATTTCCACACGCAATTAATCTGTCCATGTGCAGCGTATACCTGCCATCCATTTAAACCCGTCCGCACGTTTTTAATACGGTGGAAGTGAATTTGAAACAAGCGAGCAAACTTGTTGCTCGCGTATACGGGAAACTTTTAATAAATTTGTAAACTTTTTAAATTAGAACCGTAGCCTCCGACCGTTTTCCGTAAGATCCTTAATCCTCATACAGACAAACTATCCAAAGTTTGTAATAATGCTTGCGACGTATACACAAATAATATACAAAAGACAGAAATACAGAATTTATGTAAAAAGCTTATAACAGCCAATGGAAATATATAAAAACTAATTTGTTGTGGCTAAAGGAATATTTAATGAAAAATGTGTAGTTTCAGCAATACAAATAATTCCATGAAACAGTACTTTGCCAACATTGTAAAAAACAACCCTTCTATCCGTCATCCCTAAATTTGATCTTCTTTCAAGATAAATACAAATTGTCACATAAAAGGTAGACAAGGGGAAAAAATTAACATATAAATCGCTTTGCAGTAAAATCTCACTGTCCCGATGATTAATTCTGTCTCTTTACGACCCTTTGCCCTCTAGCAATTTTCTAACTCTTTGCTATAAAATATCTTGTTAGATTTGCAATAGAAAATGTAAAACTACTATTCGAATTAATATTTGAAGAAAAATATTATTTATTTTAAACTGAAAAGAATTGAGGGACATTTATTTTGGTAAATATCCATTTTTCTCGATATCAATTGTTCTACTTTAACCCTTAAATTACCAACTAGATACGTTCCAAAGTATCCCAGATAAACAAGCCAACGGCAATTTGTAATCTATATTATAAACTAAATTAGTTATGTAATTTAGAAGTGGTTATTATTTTATCATTTGATCGTTTTGTTGCAAATTTACGTTTGATTATTAATTTGGACTTAATCTCACCCCAAAGTGAAACAAGTTAGAGGTAAAACAATCATGGATATATTAGGTACCGGAACAAGTTCATGTAGTTTTCTTATTAACAATGAATTGAGGTTCTATTTCAATTAGTATTTCCCTAGTTTAACAAATTTATGTTTATGCAGTGGTATCAAATATAATAAAATAAAATTATTTTACAGAAACGTTCTCCGTGTTTAAATTTTCATGTAACTTCTGCTTGGTTTCCAGTTAAGAATTATTAATGACAAAGTAATTCTAGCGTGCACAGTTATAGAAGAAATTATAGAGCAAGCGTTGAAGCTCGTTGATCATATTTCCGTAAAATTAAGCAGCGTACAGTGGTATATTTCGCGAAAAAAGTCCTCGTAGCAGCTTTCTGCAGAGAAAAATCGCCGTTAGACCGTCCAGGGGAATAGAGGGGTCGACAACCTCCTTATTCATGAAGTTTCTAGACATTCTTGGTAGTACGCCCACCACTGTTTCATATAAATAGGTTGGAACCAGAATGGTTTCCTACACCCTTGTCGTTGCGACAGGTTGTTGGTTTCACGTGTCGACAATAAAAGAAGAATTCCTGTATTTTTGTTTACCTCCTTCTGTGGTAAAGTGTTGTTCCTTCATAAACTTTTGCTTTGCCTTGAAACATTGTCTCACAAAATGTTTCAGCTGAAGTATAGGTGTACTGTTGTGCATAAAAGTTGTGACGTTAAGAAAAAGAAGAAACTTGTCAATTAAACAATTCATTCAATATGAGTGTTTCTAGTTACGATGGTAATTTTTATTTAATATGCATAGTGACACATGTTTAATTGCATAGTTTCTAAATAATGATTGAATGTAGGAATTGGTTTGTGGGTTTTATTTCTTCTATTTTATTTTTGTTATGCGAATTTATAATTTAGGCAGTATAACATAATTAAGTATTATACCATTTGTTATAATTAGGTACTATACTGATTTTCTACCCTTCTGTGATACATTTTTCTTCAACTTTAATATAAAATTCACGTTTTGATTGTTGTAATGTAAATTACTATAATAAGTATGACAATTTATCCTAAACAAATTTATTTGTCACTGTCCTTGTGTTAGAACGAGTTTCATTCAATTTGATCTTCGTCAATGTCGCAAACTTTTACGCACAATAACTTTCATTAAGTCAGTTACAAAATGTACAAAGTTAGTTTAAACAGAAAACGCAATAAAATAAAGTTTTTAAATAGATGAAAGAGGCCAAGCGATGGAATTTGATCTTATCACGGTTGAATAATTGATTCAATTCCGTAGTATATTTGAAAATTCATAGAAAATTCCACAGTCCACATAGTACTCTCGCAAACGTTTGCTCTATGCGGTGTAGCAGACTCGTTGCGTCGTAAGAGAACAGGAATATTTTCCTGCATATTAAATACCACACAATTTTATCAAGATTTTTATAAAAGTAATTTTCTTAACCGATACAATAATTTTTTAATAACTTCGTCTGTTACTGTGATCAATTAAAATAACCGTAATAAAAGATAATGGCATTTGAACATTTTTGGAAGAGATGAAATTACGATTACAATTATATAAAGAAGAAAAAGGATAAACAAATATAAAGTATAATTAAAAAGTACGTTTGCGTATATTGAGTTTTACTCTAAAATTACAAATAAATATGAATGTATGTTTGTAGGAATCAGGAAATCTTAAGAACAATTTTTAAAAAAGATTAAAATCAGAAATTAATAATAAAAAATGAAATCAAGAGATCCATTGATGGTAATTTCATTTAAACATTTATAAATATTAAAAGGGCGAAATTGCTTCAATTCAATATGGCGTGGAATGATCATTCCTTTGTTGGAATCCGTACAGTTTTAAAGAAATTATCTTAATCACGTAGAGATACGAACATATAAATCACAATCGTATGCGTTGATGGCATCTATAAATGGAAAAATACACTGAAACCAAAATGGTGATGGAAATTAATCTTCCTGCCAGGAATGACATTTTAATCGATGGAACAATTCCTCCTATTTGGTCTCTGTAAACTAGTCTACAAAGATATGAATTCCTTCATCTCTTATATAAACAAATATAAATTGTTATTATTTAATTCTTAATAATAACAGGAATGCACAATAATGTTTAGTAAAACTTTGTGGTTAACTTTAGTACAAAAACCAATGAAACTTTAATTCTATTAACAATCTTTTCTACTAAGCAGCAGTACAGCTTTCTCGCCATTAAAATATTCGCAACATTTGTCTGACTTAATGCAAAATCCACTTATTATAACTAAGCTTTAATCAGGCGACAAAGCGTCCCTCAGAACAGTTCTCAGTTCCACGATTTCTTTCCTCAATCTTTCTATATCGTTTTCATCTGCCTCTTTCTTTTTCTTCCGGAAATAGCGTTGCACCAATTGGGACATCACTATAGAAAATTGATGATCCTTCTCGGTTTCCGAGGATTCCTGTTAAAAGAGTTCGTCTTAATATTCCAATTTCCTTCAAATTTGATATACTCTATCATATACATGACACTATAAATAATTCACTTTCGTGAAATTCGCGTGACGAGAGTACAATTCAAAATAAAATATCACAGAAATAAAATTGTTATACATTATTCATATAATATTTCGATTTGAATGTTTTCCTTATAATTTCGTTGTATATGCAGCAAATTTAAATATTTAATTTTATTACTAACGATGAAAAAACAGTGAGTAATGTCCCAGCGCGCTCGTTTGTCTTTCTGCGGTTTCAAAAGTATTTTCAGGTAGTCGATGATTGGCCGAATTCCAATAGACGTTGGAATAATATTGAACGGCGGTGGAAGAGCTGTCGTCAGCATGAAGTCGATGTAAACCTAAAAAGCAAAGTTTCATGGGTATCATTTATTCACCTTTGTAAGTCACATTTAATGTTAAGCAACTTTTTTTATCATTTCCCAACCTCTGTACGGCCAAAGGTCCACTCCACGATCATATTTTCTGTTACTCGCGTAAGAGTATTTGACATACACGCGATTAACATATTAAGAATGACTATTACAGCGATGAACATGTATACTGAAACAAAAAGAGAACATGAAACATTGTTCTGTAAAAAAAGGATGTTAGTTGCGTATTGGAATACTGAGTTCGGATGAAATTTATCTGTATTTTGGTCCTAGATCCAAACTCAGAATTCACTATCCTTTCATTTATTATCACATATAATAAATAATTACATAATAAAAGATGTTTATTTTCAAAATATGTCCCCCCAATCTTATAATGTCTGGTCAGCGGTAAATTTATATTAACACTTTTCATATTGTATGATAGAAAAAACATATATGTTTTCAAATTTAAAATATAGTATTGTACTGCTATTACTATCAATATTTTGTTAATATTATTTTTATGCAAATAAAACTTTTCAAATAAATGAAGCAGACTATGGATTCCTTTCTGTATGTATTTTTGTCTTAGATCCAAGCTCAGAACCCACTATCCTTTAATTTACTATTACGCATAATAAATAATTATATAATACTGCATCATATAACTACCCTAAAAAGACTTTAATATTATTTATTACAATATATATTTTTCCTCGTATTCAACACAAAATATGTAAAAATATAATAAAGTACACAATTCGACACTAGAATTACCGAGCATTTAATACCATTGATATGTAATCCCTGTGAAAATTATAATTATTTTACTATTTATTTTCAAGATCATTGCGAATATTCAGTGCTTTTAAAATATCACTAATTGCGAAACAAAAATACCGAAACCGATGATTTTTACTGGTACCGTAGTCCTAGTGTTAAAACAGCATGAAATTACAAATATTGAATCATTACAAGCAAAAAAAGTAAAAATTCTTGTTTTGACGACGAAACATACACGTACGTGTTTTTTTATTTCGAAAATACAAATCTGCTTCTAGAAATATCTGTCAGCAACGTTTATTCTACTTTACTATTAAAATAATCAAGTGACAACATGAACAATTGTCAAATTCAAGTGAACGTTACAATAAAGAATTCATATTCACGTAAAAATTTTCGTTATATATTAAATCTTATAAACTTTTATGTTTGTATTTTTCAATAGATTTGTAGTCACACGTGTTTATATTGAAAATTACGATTATCAAATAGAAGTCTCCCTTGTCGTCATTAAAATAGAAAGAATAAAATGTAAAAATAAAAGATGATAGAATATTCCAACAAATTCAGCATTTCTATATTAAATACATTGATTTTCTTCTCGTGTTACTCAATTAATTTTCTGCTGGTCTCAAATTACGCGAAAATTGCATCGAAATGTTACCTGATAAGGATATGTAGCCGATTATTTCGGTGAACGTGTGATGATTGATGACACTCTTGTAATCTGATTCACCCGGAAGATTCTCGATTATCACGTCTGCGCTTTCCATTGGGGTCATACAGAAAAGCGCCCAGAAAAACGTTTTCAAAGCGGATTTTAAATCGACAAACGAGCTCACCTGCTGTGTTTTAATTTTCGATTGGTCATCGGTTTGCACCATTCCGTCGTAATATTGATAAAGCTTGCATGTGCCTGAAAATATAATTGCAACTGTAAGTATCTATAATACTGAGCAACTCGTAATGCTGCAATGTGATTTTTACAAGATTTTATTTTTCGATATGCTAAGATTTTCTTTTCTTTTGTGTGCGAAGAGTCACGAAAGAATTATTTAAAAAAATATTTTGTTAAGTACAGTATTTATATTAACACTAAAACTACAGAGCAGTTAAATTGACTTTTTGAAGTTCCTCTACAAAAAATTAAGGAGTGCTTCTACTGAGACTTTAATTAATTTATAATTCAGTTTGCGTATTGCTGAATCAATTCTTTTAATAATTTCTCAGAGAACCATCTGTTATCTTTTTAATAAATGTGAACTGAAGGAATGAGGATTGGGTCATTTTAACTCGTCTGATAGTTTTAGTGTTAAAAAAAAGTATATATTATTCAGAAAAATATTTCTAAATATAAATACAATATTATCATATAATATAGTGTTCTGTTCTTGATTGTAAATTAAATTATTCTATTAAAAATTAATTAAAACTAGCGTATACTGACCGACAGTGAAAGCAATCAGAATTATCAAAAACAGAGCGATGAACTTCTGAACGTCGTAGATCATTTTCCCCAAAGATAGTTGAAGAGGTCCCAGATTGTAGTCCAACTGGTAGATGTACATCAATTTCAAAAAGGCCGTTATCGTCGCCAGACAAAACATTCCTTCAGCAATCAACGTGGGATCATACTTGTTCCAATACTTCCGTTCTAATTGAAGTTGTCCGTTTGTTCGCACGTCGATAGCTGCGGTGATCCAATATATGAAGGTCAACACGAAAAGAGATATCATCACTGCCTCGAACCTGAAACAGTTTTCTCATCAAAGTCCTGTTATCTATGATATTTTTTTATTAACGATAAGAAAACTCGAACATATTGTTCCCAGTCGTCTCGCTCGTGCTTTCTGAAGGAAATTCTTATAATATTTTTCACTTTAGGAAGTGGTACTGTGAGATGAAGATAACAAGAAAATATTTATGCAATTTTCGTATGCTGTATTGGAATTTTTTAGCGCTCAATTTGAGTATACTTGACAAATTACTCTGCTTCATTTCGCGATCGTTAAGCAATAATAGAACTATGTAATTAAATTGTAGATATAATAATTATAAACTATATATAATTCAGTAACTTTGAATTATCTGCATTAACTTCAGAAACGATTACAATCTAATTACTGTCGATGAATCCTTAACACATTATCTACCTGCAGTTATCGAACAGTTCATTCAAGATTAATAATCACTGCCAAAGGATTTCTTAATCAAACACCCAATAACGATGGCAATTAAAACTCTGAATTAACAAGCCACGTTGAGCAACATAAGGCAATTGTTATTTGAGAACTGTTAGTGAAAGAAAATGATTAAACCTTTTTTTAATGTGAAAGCATAGGTTATTGAAAAGCCTATTAAGTAATCAATAACCCTTAATAACCCTAAGTAAATCAATTAATCCTTTGCATTCTAAAGTTTTTCACTAGAAACGTGCAGCATTTCTCAATGAGACATAAACGACGTTTTTCGAAATTAATACACGAGAAAACGTACGTTCATTAAGAAACAAGGCTATTTTATTTCAATATTTCTCATATCGATGCATTATACGAAGCAGAATATTATGTATAAGACTATAATTTTGTTATATCAAATCTCTATAGAAGAATTTCGAAAAGTCAATTCAACTGCTTGGTAGGTTTAGTGTTAAACTTGAATATATCGTACCAATACCAACGCTTCGAGAAGAACCTCTTTGGACCGTGTATCAAGCAGAGACGTATTGCAGCCCAAGTATACGAAACGATGTAAATTGACAGGAACCAGACGTACACTGAGGAAGCGTACATGAGGATCAGAAGTCGAAAGGAAACCGTTCGATTCAGTCCGATTTATGTGAATGTCAGAGAGTCATTTGTATACCGGTGTTAGGGGCTCCGCGAAACTGTTCGGACTTGTCGGAGTTCGACTGGAGGAAAACTAAAAGCAGGAAGATTAAGGAGCTCGCGACCGACGAGATGAATTTATTAACGGGCGACTGAAACCATTTCGACCATTTCGAATTGGGCGCGAAAAGTATGATCACAAGAATTACTGGGAGCAAACCGATACGCAGTATTACGTGTCCGAACTGCGCCCAACTGCTCTTTATCTTCCAGTCGTACCAGTCTTCGATCCATTTGGCTTTGATCAACTGGAAATAATTTATAAAATGTGAGAAATTCATTTTTTTTCATATTAATTTTATTATACATATTTATTATATATATAAGTTTATATATAATATTTTATTATTATTATTTTATTATTATTATTTTATTATAATAATAATTTTATTAATTATACTATTAATTTTATTAATAGGAATACAAAGATTTTTACACTAGATTTGGAATAGAAATTGGGCTGGGTAGGTTTAAGGGGGTTGTTTCATTTGAGATTGTGAATGATAGATAGATTTGATGATATTTTGATGTTGAAACATGGGAAATATATCCTTAGGATTTGTAAGAAAGATCAATCTGTCTAATGGTTCTTTGAGTAACAAAGTTAACGAGAACTGATTATTATGAATTTCTTAAAAAGACAAGTTGTTAGTTACCTGAGCTCATTAGAAACTTCTATTTGTTATACAAACTCGGTATCATCGGGAAGCAAAGGTTTTTCAATTCCAAATTTAAAGAAACAAAAGATACATATATTTATTCACTAAATTAATATTTAAATAAATATAGAATTAATAATTAAAGAAGCAAAAGGTATACATATTTGTTCATTTCAAATTGAAATCCTTATCACAGATTCGGCTCGATATCATAAGACAAAAGGCTGATGGAACGAAGTGAAGTAACTTCCAATTTTGCTGCACTAAACCCTCGCCTTATAATATCGAGTAAAACTCGCGATAAAGTTTCGAAACTAAAATTAAATTTACCTTTATCTTGTCATTCATCCTAGGTAGTCATTAAATTCATTTATATCTTGTTATAAAACCTTTATAATAAACGTGGGTACAATGATCATTTCTTATTTCACTTCATCATTAAAGAGAATAGAAATTTCAAGAAAACAATTGAAACATAAATCTACTAATGCCACAGCATAATATAGATTAATATTCATAGCATTAGATTTACGTTTAATAATTGTATTATAAATATCATAATACTTAATCTAAATATAGGATCTAATCTAAATATAATGTTGAATCTAAATATAGAAAAAATAGAGGACAAAGCCTTAATAACCTGTTGCACATTGGGATGAGCCACGAAACTTCGTTGCTTGTAATGCAGCGCGAACAACAGCCTAGGGTACATAAACTTGGAGGAAATGGCGAACCCGGTGGATTGTTTCAAAATGACTTCCACCTCGTCGAACGTTCGCGCGCAATCGATCAGATCGGTGGCGAATCCGGAGACACTCTGCGGAGGGAATGTTACTTGATCAATGATCATTGGCAGAGGAGAAGGCGTTAACCAACCTCGGAGAGCCCTTTGTACTCGTGATAGAATTCTTTGTCGAAGTTAGCAGCCTGGCTCAGCTCGTAAGATAAATTGAATGCTTCGAGAATTGGGTCGTCGACCGTCTGGCAAATATACGCGGGGTTCGTGATCGCCTTGTACGTGAATAATCGCATTTTCTCGATCGTCAGTAAATCAGATCTTTCTCGTTCGCTTCTGCGCTGTCGAAAAGCGGTATCATTAATTTAATCCTATCCTCTTCACGAAATATAGGAGGTCTATACCAGATACTTTAATAATAGAGGAAAGATCTATATTCTGATCTTTTGCTGTTTGAATAATTGAATCGTTTGCAGCAACTTAGTACTCCAAATATGAAAGTTAATTGAAAATAATAAGAATTCATCGCTGAAAAAATTAGTATCGTTTCAAGCTTTAACACTAAAACTACCGAGCAATTAAAGTGATTTATTTCTAATTCTTTATAAATATTAAAACAATACCTTTTTCGAGATTCGAAGGTTTTGTGTTTGCACAGGTATACAAGTTTAATTTAAAATCTCTCGTAAAAACGCATTAAGAATTTAAATATTTACGAAATAGAAATTCTGAAATGTGTCAATTTTACCTGTCCGGTAGTTTTAATGTTAAGATGACGTGTATAATTGCCGAACGTAGTTAACTGGAAAATTCGTACTTGCACTCATAGCAGTTGCAGGACGGCAAATGTGGTCTGGGAATATTATGATGTCTTTTCCGGAGATAGTCGATCAGTTCGAAGTGTCCGCATTGTGCAGCTATCACAAGAGGAGTTGTATCGTCTGGGAAATCAGCGCTTTGCGTGACACCGACGTACTCCAATCCCGACGTTAGTTGATTTAATTTGTTCAGGATAAGATTGACGATTTTCGGTTCGTTCTCCGCGATGGCGTGCAGGTGAGTGTCTCCCGGATCGATGTCTGGAGAAGACAGTAGATATTCTACCATTGCAATGTTCCTGTTGCGGACTGCAATGTGCAGTGCCGTGACGCCCTGAAAAGAAAACGAGTTCTTAACACATTGCGTACTGGTAGCGAGGAATCTCGTTTTTATATAAAGACACTTAGCCATGCAACTTTGCTGATTGCCGTAGCATTTAAGAAAATATTAAATTTGATTCGAATTGATTATCTATTTAAAATATATTACATAACCATATGATATCTGAATTTTTGTATGGATAGTGATATATGTGTAAGTTGATTTCACTGAAAATTGCCATTCGCACAATTCAGTTTTCTGAAAATTGGCCGGTACACAATGTGTTAATAATAACAATAAATTATACTTCATAGTTCTTGATAAAATTATAATTAATGTACAACAATGTTAATGTCTATAATATAATACTTTTATCTATGGTTCTTTTTGAAATTAATACTGAATTTGAATTTGTATAATAATTAAATTATATTAGCACTTTTGATATTATATGATGGAAAAAACGTACCTAATAGAGAAAGATTATTAAATAGAGAGACTCTACACGTGAAAATGCTGTTTGAACTTCTCACATTATGCAACAAAGCCAACTTTTTTGAAACAGTTCTATTATCAAAATTTTATAGACATTTTTGAAAATTCAATACTTGCGTCAAGAGTGGATCATCCTTTAAAACGGGAAAACTAGTAATTGACCATATGTTAGTTAGCGGTTGACTATTTAGAGTAAAATTAAAAACACTAAAGCTTACTACATTAATATCGTTGATTTGCACCGACTATGACAAATTACAAGCAAAAGGACAAATACGAATGAAAAGAAGTTAATTCCATGTTAGAAATTCGAGGCATACAACCAACGTCAATGAAATAAATTGTTAATTATTACGATAAACAATTTAATTCAGGCAAAAGTGTTTCGTAGTTGAGTCGCTAGATACTACAGTATATCTATTGCATCATTATCGAAAAACCATCAGTTTTAAAAACCTGATTTTTTACGTTTTCCTGGAGAAATGGTCCACTACTGATACCAGGTCAATTACTGACGTCTTTACCTTAACACATCCGTTGCCACAGTGGTCCGAAATGACTCGAAAACAATTATAATTCGCAAAACAACTGTCGAATAAAAGTGTTCAATAGAGTCAATAACTAGATAACAGTGTAAAGTAAGAATTATTGTAGCACATAATTAATAATTGTTCCATTTTATCTCTGCTAAAAAGGAATAAGTGATACGTAAAACGTTTATCGTGGCAGTCGACATGTTAACACGGTCAAATCAAATCACTATAATTCTTAATATTTGTAAACATTTCTATATTATACATATTATTACCTAGTGCACTGGCATTCAACAAGATAAACGTGCAATAACAATGACGTAATTCAACTCAATAATTCAATACTATATCTTTCCTCATTTCGTGTATATTGCTCCGTGAATCCTGCGTCATTCAACGTATTAACTGGTTAACACTAATCGTACCTTCACTTTTCCTGCCGTAACCAGTCAAATAACTGGCTGTAAAATGAAGATAAACAAGTCAGATCATAAATGTTTTCCAGTGAAAACAGAAAGAAAAGGAATGGCAAGAAAAACTGAGTAACCAAACAATATAGGAATTGATATTAAAATTACATATACGAAAAAAGCCTAGAATTTTAAAGCCGGTCATTCGACCGGTTCTCGGTACGGTTAGTGTTAAATAGCGTTTTCCAACTTTTCAGACTTTCCATGATCATAGAATTTCTAGTAATGGCGGACTCGTGGCGCACGCTTTCCGGTTCACGTGAGATCGACTTTCGAACTTCTATCCGCTTCTTTTTCTTTCGGTAGTGTCCCTTTTTGCGCGGAGAATGGGAGGACAAGGTTTGTCGCCCATCTGCGGCGTGTTTACAGAGGCGGCTCCCGACAATGGACCGGGCCCATTGTTGCCGTCGGCAACGGTCACAATATTCCGTGATGTTCCGACTTTCGGATAGGTCCCCAGGGGGACCTGTGTACTTACACGCACCGCCACGATGCCACCTTGTGATATATGCCTGGTGAAGGACCATAGCCATTCACCATCGGCAGCTGTCTGCTTGACACCGCGCCGGCTCTCGTGGCTCCGGCGATATTTGCGGTTTCCGTAAATTGCGCCAGCGATAGCGGGATGGACCAAAGGGCCAAGATCAATATGGACTTATGAATATCAATTAATTGAACACCTTGCTCTGGGATTTCTTTCGTGATCGATTTCGTCGTTGATAATTTAGTGTACAAAGAAATGAAGATGAGAAAATAGATACACGATATAGATATTGTCGAAGGAAGTATTAAATAATAGTTTTTGCTATTATTTAAGTTTTAATATTATAAAGTATTATAATATAATATATATAATTATATAGTATAGTATTATAATATAATTTATCAAAAAGTAGAAGAGTTTATACTTATATGAATACGTACTTACGGAATTTCTTTGATGATCGATAGAATCATTTCGTCGTTGATGATTTAAAAATAAATACATAATATAATAGATAGTTTATAAAATAGATACATAATATAATGGATAATTTATAAAATAGATATATAATATAGGTATTGTCGAAGAAAATATTAAATAATAATTTTTGTTATTATTTGAGTTTTATTAAAATTTATGTTATAGAACTTCTGATGGTAGTGCCAATTTTAATTTTCAGTAGGGTAAAGTATGTTATATAATTTATAAAAAACACAAGCATTTATATTTTCTTTAGGACAATGTAATATTAATTTTATTTGATGCATGCCTATAATTATATGATTTACACTTTGTTTATTTCTACTAAATGAAAATTGCTAGCTAAATATATTTAATTGTTAGCTGATATAAATAATCTATAAATATATATGACGTCATGAACAAGGATCACAAATGAATGTGTCATTTTGTTTCTTTGTACTGGTGCAATCTAATTAGTCAGTTTTATCTCATCTTTGATTTTAATTTACTATAGGTATAATTTAGAAAAACATTTAAAATTTACAGTTCGGCATGGGATAAAAAATAAGTTAAGTATAAAAAATACAGCTTGAGGAACGTAGAATCTAGTACTGTAGTTATCTCGTTCAATTTTTTAATCGAAAGGTAAAAGAAATGCTTCGAACATCTATGTAACATTAAAGCTGTTTCACTGAATATCTTTCCAATGCTTTTAATCGAAAAATAACTCATGCACTGCTTTGCAATTCTCAAACTACATCGAGGACTTATTTGAATCATTACATGCGATATCAGTTTGATCGAGCTCTTTATTTGTGAAAAACATTACTGTCCCGTTTTACCTGACCATTCCGTTTTACCCTACTATTTCCTACTTGCAATACATGCATATATGAATGACACAGTCCCCAAGGAAACATTGGTGTCTCATATATGAATGATATAGTGCGCAATGTATTAATGGAAAATATACAGTTGCCAGCTACACGTGTTTGTAATATTTTCATTCTATCAAATTCTTCTATTTTTATATAACTTGTACTCGCTTTATTTAATTTTTGCATTTAATATATTTACCATAAAAAAATTGTGCGTTTATTTACTCGATATATTTATGATTAAAAGAAGAAGAAAATAATGTACACCTGTGTAAATTTATTTTGCAATTAAAACTTCAGCAATTCTCTTCGGAAAGCTCATCTTTCACCAAACAAATAATCAGATTCACACATTTTTCAATTCTTGGATTTATCACTCGGTCAAAGCGTAATAAATACCTTTCCAGAGGAATTTGAGAAATTGACTGAGTGCCAGGGCCAAGTAAAATATCGTGTAGTTGGCTCGGGGATATATCACTTATACGGTTCAGAGGCTGACACTTTGAAAACCTCGACATGTTCTCGACCCTAACAGAACTTCCTGTGGCCTTGAGCGATCCCATTCATTTGCGGATTGTTCACAATTTGTTTCGCTTTTCTTGAGTATTGATTGAAACTTTTCGGTTGACATGTGGTTGAATGCAAGTTTCGCAAAATGGATTCCTTTCGATTGATTGATGACTCTGCGCGGTGGAGATGTCTCTTCTATTCATTGAGCACGTGGATTCATTTTTCTAGGGAGAGATTTCAATTGAAGCTTATACATTGACAGCGAAAAGGGAGACTCGATCCAGTTACTAATGTGACAACTTGACTACTAAATTATTTTTAAATTGCCATTCTACGTTAAACGTTAGAATTGTAATAAATACAATAGATATCTTGGAAAGTCTCAACTACATAATAAACAATTGTTTGTTATTGTTTATTTTATATATTTACATACATAAGCGTAAGAAGTTAAATCAAATCGAATATTTTCGTTTCTTTTCTCGAACTCCACTCAGTTTACTTTTAAATATAATCTCAAAACTTTCAATAGCTGCTGAATTTTCATATCTTAATTTCTAACGAATAGAAAAACTCTGCAAACATTAGAAACCTACTTCCTAAATCCACTAACCAAATTTCACAAAAACCACGTAAAAATCATCTCATTACTGAAAAACTCATCGATCTATCTTCATCTGAATTAACATTGCAACCAGTCAAACGACGAATTTTAAAATTTGCTTCAAAATTCTGTGTTTTCTTTCGTTTATTTAACTGTCTATCAACTCCTATATTGCCCGATTAATCAGTTCTTCAATTTTCGTCTTTCCTTTTGCTTGTTTCCACTAAGAAAAGTGTATTGTTTAACTTGTTTACCTTTATGTTGTAACCGGTTATTTGATTAGTTATGGTAGAATTAGGCATATACAAAGTACCAGTACGTTTAATGTTAATCCCCATTGAAACTCCTAATCCTCCACGGAGCAACCTGTTGATCCAATCAACGAAAAATCTAGCTTCCAAGAAGCCCAGAGGATCCGGCTGTTTCATCGTCACAGCGAACCGAACGGAATATGGAAATTCCCCGGGTGACTCCGAACGCTTCATGGATATTAGGTCGCCACCGAAAACGGGAGCAAACGCAGCGGTCCGTGGGGGCAGCTTGCGGCCGAGTCGATGGCGAGGGGATTCCCGGATGGAATTTACAGCGGGACGAGTCATTTGAATAATTTTTATCGGTCCTCGGGCTGAAACCATTGTCTTGTAAAGGACGGCCTGAAATATGGCTGTAGATACACGGGGGCAGCCAGTCAGCTTCTATCGTCCCATTTCGCTTATGCACCCGACCTGGCTTCTTTTCCTCGTTCTCTTCGGCTTCACCTTCGTCCGCGCGTCCTCTTTCGCTCGCGTTCCTTTTCATTCTCTTCCTCTTCACTCTATGCTTCTCTTTTTTTGTATCTCTGCTTTTTCCTTTTTTTCTCGTTTTCTCTATTTTCCTCTTTCTTTCGTTGTCTCTATTTCTCTCTTTGTTTCGTTTCCTCTCTTTTCCTTTTGCTTTGTAAGGTAGATCGGGGTGAAACGGATATTCCTCACTTTCCAGCTTTTTGCTTACAAAACGAAGGTTTTTAAGTTTTCCAAAAATCTTTAAAAAAAGTTTTAAAGAATTCTTTAAAGCTGAATGTCTATTAATAAGAAATTGCTGAAAAAAGACGTTGATTCTAAGTTTCAACTATTAGTTCTTCGCTGTTAAATCTGAACTGATCGGTTTCGTCTCGGTTTACTCTCTCTCTCACTTCCTATTTCTTTCGCTGTCTCTCTTTTCCTCTTTATTTCGTTTTCTTCCTCTTTTTCTCTTCCTTTTTATCTATTTCTTTTCTTCTTTCTTTCTATCTCACTCTCTTTCTCTTCCTTTACATCTATCCCTTTTCCTCTTTCCTTCATTCTTTCTGTTTTTCTCCTTTTCTCTATTTTTCGCTTCTCTTTCTCCCTCTGTTTGTTTCTTTCTCTCTGTCTCTCCTCCCCTTGCGATCTCAAGGCGGCCAGCTCAAAGTGAACCGAGGGTTGGGCTTTTTGGGAACCCTGAAGAGAGCTGGATGACACGAACAGCACGAGCGCGGGGGAGGGATTAACATTCCACGGGGGGTACGTGTACCTACGCGGGATGAAGATCGGAGATAACGAGGTCCAGACTTGAACGACTGGATGTTCCATAATATTACGCAAAATTTGATATTGCACGGTATTGGTGGCCGTTTGGAGAAGTTTTTGTTGCGTTACATGACGCTTGGAACTCGTACCTTAACCCTTTGCACTTGATTTATTTTCAATGTTGTTGGGTGCGAACTTGTATTTACTTTTAGGGAAATGAGTTGAAGCAATTTACAACGGTAGCATTCAACTTTTTATATTTATTTTATTTATTATTATTATAATACAGTTTAATTTTTACAATTTTTTCAAGTGTGCTATTTTTCAAAACAATTTCCATAACAAGTTCTATAACAAATTTTTATTGTCATCTCCAGCATGACATACGAGTGCAAAGGGTTAATCCTAGAATGAACAATTGAAATGACGGTTTCCAAATTTGTTGTTCTGTATTGCAAATACCAAATACTATTATAACTATGGAGTCTACGTCGATTTTAGTTAAAATAAAAGAATGAGTATACATAAGAATTTATTTTATCAATCACTGTTATTTTAAAATTTCATATAGGCATAGGATACCGTAATACCTGAAACTTTATCAATATGGTCCATCAATATGCTGGTTGTTTTAGTGGAATGGTAAATTATTACTAGCATAGGTTTGTTATTTCATATAGCATCACTTTCTCCTCTACTTTGATCTTTTCCCTTTTTCGTCAGAAAAAGTAATGACTACACAAGCTACATATGTAACATCTTTGTGATTCAATATTTCGTAGTAAACGGAGTTATTAAAGAGCACCGTTTTCGATCTGTGTAATATGAATGCACAGAATTATTGATCTTCGAAGACCTTTTATTCGATTGTCTGAGAGAAACGTCAATTACATTGCACAATTTTCTAGAGAGGACTTTATGTTTGTTTTCCATTTCCGATTTGACTGTCTACGAGGTATCCTTTTACAGAGTGGTAGAAAAAGGCTCATAAAATTATAGATAGGTAATTTCCGCCAAATAAACACAGAAAATTTTAATGAATGTAGTTTTGATAATATATGTCGAATAATATATTTTTTCAATATTATAAAGAATTTTTCTTTTACGTTTTCCATGCATACTGTAAAGATCTTTTTATCATTAGACCTCGCTAAAGTAATATCAGTTGAACGTTGTTAATGACTAATTACAGAAAGCTATTAGTAGCGTTTCATACTTTGGTAAAAATAACATTGTACCAGAATCGGCAAACCATAAAAATGGAATTTTCAATAAAAATACCAAATTCTTTCAAAGAAGACACGAAGAAAATCTTCTACAATTTAAAAAAAAGAAAGAACAAGATAATAAATTTTGGTACACAATAAAATAGCTACATAGCGTCTAATCAATTTCTCAAAACGTTATTCATCCCTAAGTTCAAAAATATTCATTTTTTCATAGAAATTCATAAAAACACTTCTTCTCCATTTGGTGAATATTATCTATCTTCAACGTTCTGGACAACCTTTCCTTATCGCCCTATATTTCTCCCTCGTTTGGTTGATCCCTTCCGGAAGGTATATCGCAACTGGGACAGACGGCATTGCTCTTTGAGCCCGAGGCACAAGAGACACTTCCGTGTAAATCATCGGTTGGAAATGACCTCGAAAAAGGGGTTGACAGAGGCGGATTCAGTGAAGGAAAAGAGGAAAACGGCCGGCATCTCGGTTTTACCTGTGCCTTCTAGTGAATCAACGTAAACGACCGGCACCACTTACGGTTATGTTGTGGGAAACCGGTGATGGGAGATAAATTCAGGGATTTTTACGAGCCGTTAAGCCTAAAAACTGACTCTAAATCGTTCCTTTGTCGTTCAGTTTTGTGAAAGATATTATCAATTAATTGTTTGGTTTTGGCTTTGACATATGGCTCACGAGGGAGATTATGTTCAGTATTATGTTGATATTGGGTGATATTGAATATTACGTTGATATTGATGATATTGAATATTATTTTGATATCGATGATATTGAATATTATATTGATATTGATGATATTGAATATTATATTGATATTGATGACATTAAATATTATATTGATATTAATGTTATTGAATATTACATTGATATGGATGATATTGAATATTATATTTACATTGACATTATTGATATATAATAGTGAAATTATAACGGCGATTCTATTCTGATCTTTTTGTTGGGAGCAATAATTGTTTTTAGCATATTTACTTACTCCTAATTATTTTTATTATCATATGATAGGTTAATTACTTTTGCGGTGCAATTACCTGAAAGTCAACGGCGTTGATGTTGAAATTCGAATTTTTTTGGAGAAAGTGACTGACGTCCGACACGTTTCCGATGTCCACAAGTTCGAAGAATTCCTTCTCCGCTTTTTGTAAACGGGTAACAATGACGCTGGATTGCTGAAATATGAAAAAAAATCGTCAGCAGGTGTACATTATTAATTGAAATTAACGGAGAATTGACTTGATGTGCTGATGAACTGGTAAAAATAGTTACAATTCATGTAAACTACAAGATTAATTATTTTACCAGTTAATTTTAAATTGTTAAAAAGACTGTCAGAATATTTGATAACCTTCAAGAAATATGAGTTACTATATTTGAACATTTGCCGAAATTAACAATCAAAAACACTTACCCTTTTCACTATGACGTCTGGATCGAACTCCATTTGTGCCCGTATTTAATCTTTCATTTTGGAAACTATCAAGAGAATCTTTTTTCAAAGAACGATTTAATGTATCGATCGTAGTTGTACAGGTTTCAAGATGAAACGAGTAACAAAGAACCATCGATACAAATAAAGTTCAGAACAATTCTTTTTTCCATTCAGTGATGAAATTAGCATTGAACTGTTGCTTTGCGTATCCATTATTTTCTGTCGAAACGAAATAAGTTTTTCTTACTTATTCATAAGTGCTAATAACAATGACATACTAAAAAAATATTGTAGCGTATTATTCTGGAAATGAATGCACGAACGAACGAACGATAAATGTGCGTACAATTGATGAATGGCGACTGTACGTGTGCGTCTGAATGTTCATGACGTTTGGAGTAATCTAGAATATATTGATTATCTGAGATATTGATTTTTGCATATTAACGTTGTTCATTTAAATAAATTTAAAATATTTCAAATATACGTGAAGTTAATGCATGGTGACGAAAGAATGTCTTAGAAGGTGTGCGAGTGAAATGAAAGTACAGTGCGTTACTGACATGATCCCAGCCGACCTGTGGCTCAAAAGTGAAGATGGGCAGGGGATTCGGCTGCACGCTCCACCTCCGCACGCGGCTCGGCGAGTAACAAAGACGTGTCGAAACTAATTCCGCCATTACGCGAGTGGACGTCTCCCCTTTCCCTCTTCACTTTTAACACGTTGAATGCCATGGGGATCACCAATAACCTCAAACCAAATCGAGTTACTGTAGTTCATTCAGATAAATGATAATTATTTGAAAACATTTCTATATTACAAATAATGTTACCTAACACGGTAGCACTCAGATAGATGAATGTGCAATAATAATAATAATTCAATTCAATCAAATGATTTAATATTACATTTTTCCATTTTGTGTAGTTTGCTCTATGAAGTCGTGCGGCGTGCAACGTGTTAAACCACAGGCTGGCAATGATCATGTCAGTAACGCACTGTATGCGAATGTATATACCGTCCGTTGCAGCGAACCTGGCATTCGCGACGTAATAGGGGCAGATACAGTCACTCCGAGAAACCCAATTATGAGTTCGAAAACGGCTCTCTCCACTCTTTGTCGCACGACCCGATTAGTGTGCGTGAGCATCTCAGCGAATCATATACTAGAACTCAAAATTCGTATAGACAAGGCGTGCGTCTTAGAATCCACTCACACGAAAGTGCCAGGTTCGCTGCAACGGATGGTGACTATTGGGCGAGTGATCGGATTTCGGGAATTGTATGTTTTGGGGAGTCGTGGCGTTATATTGTCAGTAGTGTGGTTAAAAATATTATTTAACGCTAATCATACCGGCACTTTTCCTACTGTAACTAGTCAACTAACTGGCTACAAAATAGAGATAAACAAATTAGATGATAAATTCTTTTTAGTGTAAACAGACACAAAAGAACGGATGAAAATTGAAGAACCAATTCATCGGACAATATAGGAATTGATATAAAATGAAATGAACCAAAGAAAACGCAGAATTTTAAATCCGGTCATTTGACCGGTTCCCGGTACGGTTAGTGTTAATAAGTAAAATATTCTCTTCTGTTGTACTTTCGGATATAAAGAAACCGCCGTGTACACAACTCCCGAGTTGATACCCACATTATAAACAATTAATTAATTAGATATTCCTACAGTGTGCCATCAATTAAAATGTCATCCTACCTCGCCAACATTTCTCAACCCTGAAAATCGCCATGGAATGAGGTAATTAACAAATCACAACGCAAGCGTCTCTGCTCTGTTTAATGATTTAATTCAATCTATCGATGGTGTATATACATAATTTATAATTTGTTTCTTCCGCTACGTACAAATAATAATAATATAATATAATAAAATAAAATATAATAATATTAATAATAATAATTACTATAATATAATAATATATAATATATAAATTTCTGGGGGGATAACTTAGGTGTCGACGTAGCAACCGCTTCAAAGGGTGAGCGATCCAGTTTCCTGTTTCGGGACTTCGATCGTACCACGCCGTGTCTGAATCCTGACCCTAACTGTTCAATATACAGTAGAAGAACCCTCCATAACGGCATTAAAATATTCCGTGTTACGGGGTTTCACGAATTTCACTTGAAATTCCCCTTTTGGATACTGGTCGAACTTGTATTAAGTTGGTCCTCTACTTATATCAGTATCTTATGAAAAATCTCACTTTGACAGTTATTTTTCTACGATTTTTTAATACTATTATAGAGGGTTCTACTGTACTCTAGGGAGATCACTTGATGACTAGGTTAAAGAATGATCGATCAGTTTTCATCTATTTTCATCCAATTTTCTATTGGTTATTCCTGATTACTAACATCTTCGATCACCAGTTTGTTATTCGTCGATAGGATTACACGTACTCAATCAAAACTGAATAAATCAGAAAAAGATTTTCTGCCTCTGTTCCGCTAGGCATCGAGTCATCTCCTGACTGTACAGCGTGGGATTCGTTGGTCACGAACGAAAAATTCAAAATGGCGGGTGAAGTCGAGGAGCGACGAAGAAGGAAACGGAGCGTGGTCGCGCGAATTCTCGGCTTTCTACAGAGAATGGATAGAGAACGACGGACTATGTACAATGATTCATTCGTTCCCTTTCTCATTAGTTTTAAACCGCGCTTAAACTATCTCTGTCCCCGTCGCTCGTGGCAAGCGGCTGGGACGTAATACTTTCCTTTTTTTTAGATTCTGTTACCTTAAAAGGGGCGCAAAGCGAGGGGGCGGGGCGAAGAAGCATCGAGTGACGAGAATGTCGGAGTTTCGGGTGTTTATAAATTAACCATTTCCAATGCGGCGAGCATTAGAAACAAGGGGGAAACTGAGGGGGTTGGTTAACGCAACGCTAGAAGCTTCGATTTCTTCGAGAAGGGGGTGACAAGCGATTAGAAGGGACAGTACGTTACAATGGACGCGAGTGTGTCTCCGATTTCAGTCGAACGGGCGCGACGTTTTCAAATGTCGGTGAATTAGATCGTTGGAACTCATTTCGCTAAGCGTTTCTTCGAGATGCGCGAAGCGGCGGAACAAAGGTTCGCGGGAGACGTTTAGGAACGTCTTTGTTATATGCTCGAAGCGACACGCGCAATTAAAAGCACGTAAATGTGAACGAGAATTCATTTCGTTGAGTGTTCGCTGAATATTTGACACCGCTCGCGGCGTTCCACGGAAAATGTGAAATACTTCGGTATCGGGATTCCTGAAAGGTTCCACGGAGTAGAAAAATACGGGACGTACTTTTATGGGCGTTTCATGAAATCCATGGAAATTCGAATATTCCATAAAGGGAACCGTTTTTCAACTATTTCGTCGCGGAACACGCGATGCTGTAAAATGTAATCCGCCAGCATTGCGTGAAATTATAACTGCGCTCTCCATTGAAGTTGTGCAATTAAAAAACACTGTCCCGAATTTTTTTGTCGTGACGAATATCGATGAAGGATCAATCTGTGTTGGTGTACTAATATTTCTTTACTAACGCTTTGCGAACGAATGCCATAATGGCGACTTCGGGCTTTGATATTTAAGATTTGAAACTGGGAATGGATGATTTAATTATTCGAGTAACGACAAATTTATATGGTTTTTATATAAATTTTATATGGTTTACCTTGTTAATTTTATATACTCTTTACTGATATCTGAGACTTTGATATTTCAATTTTTATGGGATCAGGGTTTAAAAAATCACAAGTTCATTAAAAAATATAGAAGTTTAAACAGTTCCTCTTTATATGGCTTAATTCTTCAATTTTATATAGTTTTCTTTGTTTCTAATATTTAAGACTTCGATATTTTAGTTTTTATGATAAGAGGTTCTAAAAAATCACATGTTCGTTAAGAAAAACACTGGAAGTTCAAAACATTCTTGTCCGCAAAGGGTTAACACGATTAATCCTCGGTTTTAACGGGCTCTGTCACGGATCCGTCTCAGAGAACACGATTCACGGCCGATCGCCAAGGAACGAGGAAGGAGAACGATTTATATTATATACTCGTATGGTACACACACTACAATATTAAGAGAAAAGCTTCGATCCTCTCTAAAGCTTCGTTTCACTTTGTTCGTCCTACATATCTAGTATACTACACGTCACTCGGTGAACGGTGTGTCACTGGCCAACAAACTCTCCGCTCTCTTTAACATTCGTTTCATCAATATTATCGACGTAGTCGAGTACGTTCTCGGGCGCGAGGCACCCAGAGGGAAACTCCTCCCTCATACCTTCGAACTAGATACAATTTATCGACTATAATCGGAGCAAAATCGATTGGATGTTCCGGACCATGTAGACAATCCCCAAACGTGCTATCGTCATCGAGCCATTAACACGAGGACCTGTAAATTCAGCCATCGACTCGAAAACATGGCTGTGATTTAGGAATCCTTCCCGTGGCAATTGTAAAAAGCAAAAGGACCTTGACATAAAATTCTACTAACGTCATTTTCCACGGTTGCATCTCATTCCGTCGCATTTTGTTCTACTTTCGTTGTTCATCGCGCGGCTAGGCTAATAACTACCCAATCAAGCATCGCGAAGCAACGATTCCTCTTGCCCCTGTGCAGTACTAGTTTGTAAGAAGTCAGTCAATCCCTCAAAGACGGTTTACAAATGTAACAAGAACACGGATCCTTAATTTCTCAATGCACCTAGCACGTGCCACGTGTCTGTCAGTTCACAGCAAACATTAGAAACGTCCAATCAATTCCGATCCGCTTACAGTTGCGAGATGAACCGCGAGTAAGGAGTCTTCGATCGACCCCCAGGAACGTTGAAGATGTCCACGGGTCAGCACTGATCAAACTCCGCAAGCCGCCCTCTAAAACGTTCACCCTTCCGCCTCGAGGATGCTGTTCGTTAGTCCTTCGCGGCATCCACGAGACGAGATTAACATTCCCGGACGCGTTTCACGGTCCGTTCGATTGAAACTAGCTTCGTTCCCCTGCGGGCTCTCATCATTGATAGATCATCCTCGTTGGCGTCACGTAAGAGGATATCCAGTAGAGGAAGCTAGCGTACGACAGGATGCCTTCCTTCGTCGTCCTGCTGTCTTGCCTGATGTCTGGGTACCTCGTGTCCTCTAGAGTCAGCCTCCTTACGAAGGACTTTAGGCTGCTCCAGATTCTGTACGGCAGGAAGGCTAGGTGGGCTAGATCCTGGTTGTCCACGACTGCGTAACAGGATGCCACTACATCGTCGACTAAAAGGGTGCCCTCCATTGTTAGCGGAGCGTAGACACCCTCCTCGAGGACCAGCCGGCTGTCCATCACCTTGTCCCATCGCAGACGATGCTCCACTTCATTTTCGTCCGCTGGATCCCTCACCAGGATCTTGTCCCCTGGCTGCACCCTGCCTGCGAACACTGACGACCTGCCTTCCACAGGCACCAAATGGGCTGGTGTTAGAGTCAACATTCGGCCGGACTCCGTGGTTAATCGCACGAACTGCCTCCTCTCCGTCAACGATCGGTCCAGGAACGCTATCACTTCGCTGTAGACGATGTCGCCGCGGGAATCCAAGGCAGCGATACGGTCGCCCAGACGCACCTGGTCCAACCTCTTCGCGAGGCCATCTTCTGTCCGGACCAGACTCTTGCCTGGGAAGCAACCGCCTGATTTCCCTGCGGATGAGGATTCTGGAAGCAGATGATGAGATCGTTAGGCTTGTAGTGTAAATGATTTATAATAGAAAGTAGTTACCCCATCAACACAATAAAAAATATCTATAAAAAAAGAAATTTTCTATTATAAATGTTATTTTTTAGATTATTATCTTAAAGTTTTTTTAAGGATATAGTAATATGTTCGAGTTGAAGTGGATTATGTGATATCTATTTGTGGTGGGGAAATATTGAATGATCTTTTTGTTGTTCGCTTTTGGTATTTTGTCAGTGAGGATTGAAATGTTATTGAATTTGGAGCTGGAAATATTTTATATGCGGAATCTTAGGAAAGAACTATGCAAACGAGGCTTGAACCCGTGCACCTCGGAAATGGCCACTTGCGCTTTAACGACCGTGCTTCTAAGGGGATTTTCTGGTCTTTTCGATCTACATACTCTACGAGACTTTGAAATTCAAATGATTTTATATAACGTGGAAATTTGTCGAAGATAGGTTTAAAGAGTTTGATATTAAAAGAATATCAATAAGGATGTTCAAATTCAAATCTTGCGTAAGTAATTTTTAATTATTTTTCGTAAACAAAAACTCACGAGGTAACGTGTTTTCATTACGAATATTAAAATTAATAAAGACGTCCCATTTTTCGTCAAACAAGAAAATACATCCTCCTCGTTCATGTCATAACTTTGCAAACCAGATAGGGTCGTGTTATTTAATTAGATCCATCAATTTAATACCCGCAGATCATCGCAGATCATCGAAATCATCGAACCAAAACGAAAATTCGCGATACGAACCATAATAGTGAATAATTTGTGGTAATTACAACCGTATAACCGGCACCAGTGTAATGGCGCGCTTCATTCGCAAGTTTTCAGTTGCGATTTCCCAAGGGAATCGTGTCGCGCGACGAGATTGAGCGACGGCCAGTCTCATTTGTATTTAAATTTCTTCGCGGGAAGCCATCAACTCGACTTATCGTTGTTCCTTTGTTACAGCGCCTTTTTAAGGCTAATAGCCACTTACGTATATTACTACAGACATTTCTGCAAACATTTTGTAAATTAATCTGCAAAATCCAGAATCGAATTCAAATCACTTCACTCTACAATTAATATTATTAAATGAAAAATAATTCGGTGTTGCGAATGATTAAATTAATTATAATTTACAAATAACTTGGTAAGACTGGTAAATGATCCTCTTCATTATTTCGATTTAAGTATATAATTAACATTGTTAATGAAAACTATTATTTAAATAATTAATTCCATTTCAGGAATATAAAAA